ATAACACTGCCCGCCGCCCCTGCCATCTGTGATTTATTCAAAAATTTCCCACAATTCCTTTATCTGGTTCTTTAACCAAATAATAGTCATATACCAGGAACTAATTTTATATCGTTGGCTTTGAATTATGGGAATCCTTTTGGGGGAAGCTCTTTGTGTAATTCTGCATAATTTTATCCGTGTAACGCATGATATTATCACATATTCTTAGCTTTATGTTAGCTAGTTGCTGTTTTCTAACTTACAAGTCTAAATTTTTTATTAAGGTTTTGTGGCGATTGATCATTTCAGAAACCTTTATTAAAAGTTGTTACGAAACGCACATCCGTTGAAACACATTCGTGTCCTGTCTAACGCATATGCGCTTCACGCCATTCACAGCTAGGCCCTGCATGTCCGCCATTACACTGTAACACTTGAAACGCATATGCGTCTCGGCCCATGCAGAAACGCATGCCCATGCAGAAACGCATAGTACACCGGCGTAAAGGCTGGTTTCCATATAACCGTAACTGCCGTTAGACTGCCGCCGGCATCTAGCTTCCATCCACAGCTGCCATGTTTACGGTACCGCCGGCTGTGAAAAGTTTAATGGAAACACTTTCCAGCTGCCATGCCGGCGGTACCGTAACTGCCGCTAGAAAGTTGAGCAATGTTCAACTTTTGCCGGCAGTTGCGGTAGCTTTACGGTACAGCCGGCAGTGAAAAGTTTAATGGAAACACTTGCTAGCGGTACCGGCGATCATTTAATGATTTTCTAACGTCATGTGATATTGTCTCTCCCAATCAAAATTGCTACTTGTTGGCGCCATTGTTTACTCACAAACACATCAAATTAAACATGGCGACTTGCAGCGAACCCAAGTCCAAATGACAAGTCCAGCAAAAGCTACAAAATTCCCAAACAAAAGAGGAATGCCTGGATAGAAATAAGTAAAACATTGGGAATCGGTGTTGAAGAGGCCCATACACGGTACAAAAGCATCAGAACGAACTTTTCAAAATACGTTAAACGAATTAAATGCACTCGCTCCGGCGAAGGAAGGAGCGACTTGCCTGAAATAAAAGAAGACTATGAGCATTTGATCTTTTTCGTCTTAGTCTCGTATAGTTGTACATGGGTAAAACCAGCTGGCAGTGCAAAAGAAATCAGCCATCTTAGATCAAGGTGCATGGGAACGCAAGCTTCACGGCAGTTACGGTTATATGGAAACTAGCTCTTACGGGCCCTTACGGTGCCGCCGACATGGCAGCTGGAAAGTGTTTCCATTAAACTTTTCACTGCCGGCGGTACCGTAAACATGGCAGCTGTGGATGGAAGCTAGGTGCCGGCGGCAGTCTAACGGCAGTTACGGTTATATGGAAACCAGCCTTAATATGCGTGTAAAAGTGTAACATTGTGAAACGCAATGTGTTTCAAATCACGTGATTTCATCGTAGTGCGATATTATGACACTTTATAATTATCAAATTTACCACAATGCTTTTTGAGTTTAAAATTTCACGCATTTCCATCAAAAAAACTTTGGAGTCGCCATTAATGTTGTACTTTTTGCATAAACGTAACAAGGGAAATCACAGCACCACTTCTTGTTAGTACCACCTTGTTAGAAATAGTTCGAATGTTCTTTACATTCTGAACATTATGAACCAGAACATTTGTGTTCCCAGACCGGTTCGCATGCTAAATTCCACCATTCGTTTCCATGCCCTGTTTTTTAAATGCTTGGGTACGTTTTGGTATAGACAAAATTGCCATGCGTTTGTGTAGCCGGACCGTTTTGCATGCTTTATTACACCATTCGTTTTGGTACTCTATCGTTTAAGAGCTTGGGTACGATTTTTCATAACCAAAATTGCCATGCGTTTGGGTACCCGGACCGCTTTGCATGCTAATTTCCACCATTCGCTTTGATACTCTATCGCTTGAGTGCTTGGGTACGATATTGCATAACCAAAACTGCCATGCGTTTGAGTACCCGGATCGAAATGCATAAGGTTACCGAAACGACATGACACCGGTTATGTGCTTGCGTTTTTGTGATTGGCCTATTTCGATCCACCTCCGAATATATATTTTTTCCATTGTGTTTTTTCGGACCTATATTCTTACATTCTGTCGTGTAGCGTGACCTTTTCAGCTCGTTTATTATCCATTGGGGTTGGTCTCACCCATTTTTCTAAAGGCAAATATGGTTTTCTGCAACACGCTCAGTTGAATTCAGCTTTAACAATGAAATGTGCCAACAAAAGTATGGTGTCGCTATGGGTAGCCCTCTGGGACCTGCCTTCGCCAATATCTTTGTTGGCTTTCATGAAGAGCGTTTGTTTGACTGCGACCAAAAGCCAGATGTATATTTTCGGTATGTAGATGACACATATACCATTTTCAAAACAGAGGCTGAGTGTGATAATTTCCTAAAACGCCTTAATGGCCTTCACACAGCCCTAAAGTTTAAATTTGAAAAGGAAGAAAATAACTCCTTGCCATTTCTAGATGTTTTGGTTAGAAGATCTGGCACTGGACTTCTCACTAGTGTATACTGTAAACCAACATTTTCGGGGTTAAATACTCGATGGAGTTCGTTTTGCCCAAAACAAAGAAACATCAGCCTCGTCAAAATGCTTACACATAGGGCACTGATGATTTGTTCCAAGTCTAAACTCGACTCGGAACTTGAACAACTAACAAAGATCTTTCTGGAGAACGGCTATCCAGAGGACATCACTTCAGTTTACATTAAGGAGAAGATAGGAAATTTCTACCGAGGAAAGGGAAAAACTGAGCGGAAAGGATACATCATATTGCACCCATGTAGCTGGACACGGGCAGTAGATTTGAAGTTCTTGCCAAGCATGACAACAAACGATTTCCTGACAAGCTTCAAAATGTTTATTGCTGCGAAAGGAAGGCCTACAAAAGTTATTTCAGACAACGAAAAGACTCTTCGCTGCTGCAAAGTGGAGCAAGAGAATTCGCAAGGATGAAAGATCACAGGATTACTTAGCTGAACAAGAGATGAGATTTTGCAGTTCAATATCAGTCGAGCTAGTTGGTGGGGAGGAATGTTTAAACGAATGATCAGTATTGTGAAGACTTTATCGATTTACCGTTACTGACACCTAACGTTCTGATACATGGTAAATCAATCTATGTTCCCGAGGAAGAACCGTCTTCATTAGAATCAAAGGACCTTAGGAATAGAGCAAAGTACTTGCTGCGCTGCAAAGAGCCGTCGAGGAAAAGGTGGCAATCCGAGTATGTTCGGGCATTACGTAAGAGACATAACCTTAGACACTCCGAAAAGCAAGCAGACGTCAAAAGAGGTGATATCGTAATGATCAAGGAAGACGCAGAAAATCGTGCGTGATGGAAAGTCGGTAGAGTTGCAGAGATGATCCAGGATAGGGATGGGGTGGTAAGAGTGGTCAAGGTTATTACCGGTAAAGGAGAGTTTGAAAGACCAATACAATTCTTTTATCCGTTGGAATCAAGAACATGCATGAGATTAACAATTATGAACTTAATGAAGAACTTTGACTTTATATTTGACGCCCTTTGGGGTCAAATTGGAGGAGTGTGGGAAATTTCAATTTTTGGACGCTGCGTAATAAACTGAGTTCTATTTGGTTTTGTTGTTATGTTAATAATGAGTGAAGCGAGAGGAATAAGAAACGGGGAGAACTAACGCAGAGACGTGATTTTTAATGTAAGTACTTTAAGGGACGAGATTTAGAGACCTTTTTATTCTATTTACTTCTGCTATTTAACTGCTTATCATAACCTGTTATGTTGATTACATTTATTGAATTATTATTCGCTGTTCTTGTTACCTTCATCTATCTGCGTGTTCATCTTTACGAAGTGGGCTAGGCCTATCGCAGTTCAGTTTATCTAAAAACACTTGCTGCAAAAAATTTTGTGGGAATCAACAAAGTTTACCACATCGTTAAACATGAAGTAGCTCAATCTTCAAAATTGGCTTCAAAGATCTCCAAGCTTCTCTATGCTTCGCTTCGTTACAGTTCCATGAACTTTTTAATATTTTGTACTTGTACAAGAGTGGAATCCCGATAATACGAACCCCGGATATAAGGAACTTCCCGGTATAACGAACTTTATGTATGGCCCCTTGGATTCTGCCTAACAAATACCTTACAAATGCTCTTGGTATAACGAACCCCGGATATATGGAACTCTCGTTATTACGAACCATTTTTAGGTCCCTTCATTATAATTTCCCTTCATATAACGAACTTTTATTACCTGTTATTTTTGTTTATTTTTTTCGGTGCTCATTCATCACTTTCTTTTAAGGAAAATCACTTCTGTGATCGGCAAAATATGCTTATAATATACATTTCTAGCACTGGCTGATAAACTCAGTGCACGAGATGAAGGTTTGATTGCGTCAGAAATTACTGCAAATGAGTACATTGATACTAACGAATATCCTCTTACATAAGAGACATTGGCAATGAGCGATGACAAAACTTTATTGAGAGACCCAGATGGAGAAGCAGAAGACAAATGAAAATGTGATGTAATCGAAGACCTCATTCAGGCACCAATCAGGAGCGATGTGATACCAGCTTTGCCAATCTCATGGTCCAAAAGTCTGATAGGAGCATTAAGATTTTGATTTTAAATGACCAGCCAGTTGTATCATTTGAATGCAAACTGATTTTTTGGAGTTGAATGTGCATAGAGGTTGGAGATAGCCTAAACATGCTCACCGCAGGTTTTAGGCATGCACTGCGAAAAGACCTGAAAAACATTTTCTCTCGGTTTAGCGAACTCCCGATATAACTAATTATTTTCTGGTTCCCTTCAGAGTTCGTTATAACGATATAACAAACTATCAACCAGAATCAATAGCCCCAAAGCATCTTTAAGTTATTACAATTTTTTGTCGTATTAGTATTTTTTTCTGAGATATCTCAGAGTATTCACTGAATACCTTGAATACCAGGACGCTACGCCACTCGTACTTCCCTACCTTTGCACTGAGGTAAAACGCCTGACCACACCAGTCCTTTGCCGCTTATAAAATTGCACGTGCGGTTTACATCTCCAGACAGGGAGTAGCCAGAGACACAGCTATATACGACTGTTTCTCCAACGACAGAAATTCCTTTCCTTTTTCCGTATTTTGGAACACCAGGATCTGGGCATGATTGAGCTGAAAAAATGATAAAACATGATTCAAAACCTAATGCAAGTAGCAAATTTATGAATTGTTTTGTTTACAGTAAAAATTGTGGTAAATAAGTTTTTGGGGCCAAAAATACTTTTTTATAGACCCTTACTTACATAAGTGCTTGCATAAAATAGCGCACAATAACGCTGTGTATAAAATGGACTAAGATTAGCAAGAATTATTTTAAATAGGCATTCAGCAATTGAATCGGTAACCTTGGCAATTTGGTTCAGTTCCTGACCAGGTACCACGTGAGGAGCATGTTCTGTTTTGACTCCCTCCTGTCAGATTGTATCCGGGTTGGCATTCATACACGATTTTATCTCCAAAAAGAGTTCCATTCAAATACACCAGTTTGCCATTGGCGATTTCCAATTGTCTTCCACATGAAATTCCTGTGATAGTATTTGTCTATAAAGTCACAATTTCTACTACAGAAATGCTTCACAACTAAATACATTTTAGAAAAAGTTATAAGTGTTTTTTTAAATCTTTTTTATCACCAGTCTCGGGGCCCCTGCTGCAATGGAAACAAACTTGGGAAAAATTTTGATCATAGAATAATGGGATCATTTTTAAAGGAATGAATATCACTTCCACCAGTCTGATGTTGGAGCATAGTATCTGGGGCGTCAAGTTCAAGTTCAAGTTAAAGTTCAAGTTTTAATTTTATCGTCACCCTTATCCAAATTTTCAAAAGCACTTATTCCCCTTTGAAGTTCAATATTCCATATCACACTGAAATATCATGCGAACATAAACTTGAAAATATGAAATTTAAAGTCAAAATCAATTGTTAACTCCTTCACTGAGTAATCGCAACCGATTAGATTTTTAGCTTTCAGACAGTCACACCAAAATGAAAACATACTTTTGCAAGCAAGGGGCAAGCCTGTCCAAAAGGCATGTGTCTCGTTTGCTAGACACACTCTTTGGAGTGATCCATTCTCGCTGATGTGTCCCTCCAAACATTCGTAATTGATTTTTGACATAAAGTTCCATCCATCTGTGACGTTGGTGAAAGCATTCACCGATGACCCAGGATCTCCACAATTAACCGCTAAAATGCAATAACAGAAGTTCATAAAAAGCAGTGGAAAAGTCTCTTGCACAATGTTTAAATGCTAAAATACCTACCATTTCTTAGAAAAAAACGTCCAGATTGATAACAAAGACGACTAATTGTGACAAGGCCCTTTGCATGAAGTTTAAATTCTTGGCAGTAATTTTGCCTGTTGGTCATCTTCAAAACCTTCAACCAAGGGAGAATCTCATTTGCTATCGAAAATCTTAATTTAATTGATTCGTAACAATCCAATTGATTCGCCATGCTTCCTATGCTCTAAACTACGTTAAAATGTACATCCAAATATTTAAAAAAGCCCAAGAAAACTTCTAGATTCAGCCAGTGGCGTAGAAAGAGTGGGGTCAGGGGGGCGAAACACCCTCTGTAAAGCCAAACAGCTATTTTGTCGGAAAATTTCTGATCTTGCCGGAAATATAACATTGTTTTCCATTTTTATCCAAGTGTTTTATTTGAGAGGACAATCTTATTATAACCATTTCTTTAGTTGTTCTGAATCAGGTTGGCAACTTAAAAATGCCGTTTGCGAAGAAAAGAACATAAAATCTTCAATCAGTATGATTTATGAGACATGACTTTGGGTAAAAAATTATACTTTGTCTCCTGTTATATTTCAGTTCTAATGTCATGTCGTTATGTTATGTTCTGAATCTTTGTCACAACTTCTTTGAAACTGCGTCAAATGCTCACCAATATGGTGCACAGCATGCCACAAAAATGACATTTTTGAACACGATAAAATACTTTGCAATCTGGTATCAGATCTGTGCATTTCCTTGGTGCTAAAATTTTGGAACAATATTCCAGTGGATATAAAAGGATCATTGTCTGTTGACATTTTTTGTCAAGAGAACTATCAAATTTGATTCTAAAGCGAAATTTATTGTTCTGTCACTAATGTAAATGATCAATTACATTAAAAGCCACCTTTGAAAAAGGGGTGTTCTCTCCTCTTTTATCTCATTTACTGAAAGAGCTCCTCCTAAAGAAAATCCCCTGCAAACAACATCTTACGTAATTGTTATTTATTGGCTGTTATTCTGATTATTTTGTGTAAGATATTGTATGTAGACGAATTTTAAAATTTAAAAAACTGAACTGAACTGAACTGAACTGAACTGAACTGAACTGAACTGAACTGAACTGAACTAACTGAACTGAACTGAACTGAACTGAACTGAACTGAACTGAACTGAACTAAACTGAACTGAACTGAACTGAACTGAACTGAACTGAACTGAACTGAACTGAACTGAACTGAACTGAACTGAACTGAACTGAACTGAACTGAACTGATCTGATCTGAACTGAACTGAACTGAACTGAACTGAACTGAACTGAACTGAACTGAACTGAACTGAACTGAACTGAACTGAACTGTACTGAACTGAACTGAACTGAACTGAACTGAACTGAACTGAACTGAACTGAACTGAACTGAACTGAACTGAACTGAACTGAACTGAACTGAACTGAACTGAACTGAACTGAACTGAACTGAACTTTGTTCAAATGTATGAAAAATAAAGTGTCTCTTAGATTTTTCTCGGAGAATCTCAGTTTTTAACCCCTTCTATGAAATTTCCTATCTACGCCACTGGATTCAGCCCACTGGATTCAGATGTTGTTTAATCAAAGCACAATTTAAGGTTAGAATAAAATAAACTTACCATTGCACGCAGCATAGCCACCACTCCAGCTGCCTGATTTCAAGCACCGAATCTCTTTTGGGCCAGTTCGTAAATATCCAGCATTACATTGAGAAATAACAAGCGCTGGATGTCGGAAGGATGAAAATGCTCTAACCCCATTCACCAGGGGTGATGGTGCTGGGCAATTAACACCTGGGAAAATTTCATTAATTTTAGAAATACAGTAATAAGCTTATTCCGCTTACCTGAATCATTTTTCAAAATAATCTAGATACTGATCTCTTAAACATATAACATTGGGAATGAAACCGGGAGTCTCACAAAGAGGTATCACCCCCAAATTGTCAATAAACAATTTGAAGAATTTGTCTCAATTTTGATTTTTTGAGACATATAGAAACATTTTCCATAAATATGAGTCCCTGAGCTTACTTGAATTTGATAATGAGTTTGACAACGACAAATTATTGCCGTCCCTTTGTAAATTCTAAATAGTGTTCCAAAAGCGACAAATATATTTTCTTTAGTTCAAGGTTAACACAATTTTAGCAGGGCTAACATTGCTAACATTTCTCCCTGGCTCAAGTACTTTAAAGTAACCCTTGAACTTTTAAAAGTCACAGTCTGCCCATAGGGCATTCTCCATTGGAAACTTTTCAGACAAACAAGTCTCAAACAGCAAATATATTATCAAAGTTTTTTATAGTGCTAGTACTCAAATTAGTTGATATACTCTTACATTTGTGTTTAGCAGCTTACCTAAACAAGTGCGGTTGACAGTCGTTTGTGGAACCAAACCTTCCTTGCCATCATACAAATAGTATCCTTCCAAGCAACTGCAGTGATAGCTCCCAGCTGTATTAGTACAATTGTGGGCACATCCACCATTGTTAACTGCACAATCGTCAATATCTATCAATGAGAGGGAAAACGCATCAATGTACTTTGCCCTGTCTATCGACCGATCAACGTTGAAAATGGGCTCCTCGGCGGGTACATGCCGACTGAAGACGTTACAATAAATCTATTGGATAGTCCCGTCAATTGGATTTAAATGGTCATCAAAATCCGTCGGGACAAAGTGCCTTTAAAACAACAAATCTCAAAAACACAAAAATAATTAACAGAGGTCTCTACGTATAGCCAAGTTTTCACAAAAGCCTCATCACTTTTAAATTAAAAACATAAATAATCTGTTATGTTATTTAGAGAATTAACGCCTCACAGCAGGGCAAAAACTTTCTACTTATTTGAATCTACTAGTGTTGGTATTTTCTTGATTTGCATCGGCAACTCTTCTTTTGAAAATTAACTAAGCAAAAATATGGAGAAAACACATCGTATAAATTTCTTGGTAAAGTTCTAACAATCCAACATTGTTTTCTAATGTCAGGTCCGTAGTATCGAAGCTAAAACTACGTTTTCATGCTAAGACAGTGAATGAGAAATGGCAAGAAATTTTAATTCAGTGTCGCTTAACTAGATAGTTAATCTTTTTAACCTTCACAAGTGTCCCTCTGTCCTTTAACTTTCTGGTATCCTGCTCTACAGCTACATATGTACGACCCAACAGTGTTGGTACAGATAGCTCCAGGTCCTTTGCAAGGTACATTGCTACATTCGTTGATGTCTATAAACTTAAAGAATAATGGAGAATCTAGCAGAATAATAGGATTCTGAGCAATTTCACGTAAATATAATTCGAGTAAAAATTGGATATCTAAGTATTGTTTCAATGCACTCATGATTGATGGTTGAAAACATAGACGTGTTCAAAGATACAAATAAAGGGAAAGGGGTAAAGTGAATACAATCAACTTCCTTCAAATCTGGTAAATCTTTTAGCAAAATCATCGATTAATTTAATAGGCCTATCTTCACAAATGCTCCAAAAAAATAATATTGAAATAAGTATCGAAGGCGATGTTATATATCTCAATAAAAGAGACCAGAGCATCAGTTGAATTGCAAATGAAGATAGACAAAATGAAACTTTTCTGCCCTTTTATTAAGCATTGAATACCAATGTAGAAAAATTCTAAAAATTATTTTCAAATCATTCAAGATTCAAAAATGGAGAAAGTAAAAAAAGATAACAGTTTTGTTTTCGATAAAGATCAAGTAGGTAGCTCGCTTTGTGTAACAGTATGTGAAAACAGGAATTACCAAAACATCGAGGAGCAGTGTCGTTGAAATTTCCATTAGCTTGGCAAATGATCGACTCTGAGCCTCTTATGCGATAGCCTCTATTGCAAGTAAAGCTAAGTATTTCTCCATAATTTATTCGAACAGGAACTGTGCTGTTTGGGCCTAGCAAATATTTTCCATTGACTGGTGCTGGTACGACCATGCAGAAGACAGCTAAAATGCAAACACTTAAAAACCAATACAATTTACTTCAGTCCGTCTGAAATTTCACGTAAATATAGGAAATACACGATGAATTAATGATTAAGAGCTTAAAATACTTACGAAAGTCAAACTTGATGAAATATTTGTAGCTTAGTTACACTTTCGTACTTGTGTTATTGAGCATTGAAAAGAAACATCAACAAGCAAAGTTATTAAAACGAAAGAATCGTTAGGTTGCCAGGGTCCTTGTTAAATTTGAGACTCAAGTGACTTAGACCAATATTTCTCACTTTGTCAATAGCAACGCATTTATCACAAGGCTTCCCCAAAATTAACTGTAAAAATCAATTTTCTTGACTCACTGTAAAAGAAATGTAGAGGTATATAAATACGGTTCAAGAAGGGGTAGTGGGGCAATGTGGGGAATAACTCAAATACCTTAGGGTCAATTTTCATAGAGAGCAGGCGTTAAGGGTTTACCAAATGATAAGACCATTTTTATAAATCGCTGACTGACACCGATTCGAATGAAAGTATGACTTTCTTGAGCAAACATTTCAAATAATTGAACAAATTATTAAGGTTAATTTAATTACATTATTGTATAATTTCATGAATTAACCTCTTTTCTTTTTGTCTTGATTTAAGAATAGGCCGACATGTGCCTAGTATTGAGTGCATTGCAAATGGAACAATGATATAAAAATTTTTTATAATTGAACAATGATATAGGCTTTGGCTGGTATTAAAATTATTGGTCTAGAACAAATTTCATTCTCAAATGAATTGGACTAAAATTTTTTAAAATCGCAAAAAGATTATTTTGCTCATCTGTCTGTTGCAAAATTTTTAAGCAAAAGTCCTCAAATGCTTAGTAGCTATAATCAGCAGCATATTTCTTACTCATTGTGGTTTATTTCTAACTTTGAACTGAAGGATGATAATTTCGAGAAGTCTCCCTTTAACCAACTTTAATTATATAAAAACGATGATCATAATACGTACGTTTGCATGTGGGAATTGGTCCGGACCACTTTCCCTCTGCCCCACAAATTATGGTTTTTGGCCCGTGCAAGTTGTATCCGTAGTCGCAAGTAAAAGACATTACTGCACTGACATTAGTATTGCTCGTGCTTCTTGCTCCATTTGCAGGTGTCCCAGGGTCTCCACAACCAACATCTAGAAGGACAATCAAATCGGCGTCACCTCATACTCATTCTACATCCGGCATGCATTTGGTGAAACTTGGCACTAGGCTAATTTTTACCTAAAGTTACTGATTACTTTAAAAATATTCGATAAAAACTGAAACAATGCATTGAGAGAGTGAAAGTAGGTTTGAGGTAAAAGATGGAAAGTTACTGTTAGGTAAAAGAGGTAAAAGATGGAAGCTAAATAACTGAAAACAGAATATCTACGAGGGAGGTTGGTAATGGTGTGAGGGTGTAGCCGAAGATAGAATACGAGAGAATATATTCCTTTTGGTTGCTTGGATGAGAACTACCATGAAATAAGACATACCAAGGGGAACAGAATAGTATAAGAAAGATTACGCGATGTTAACGAAAATAAAAGTTAATTCAACGGGGGGTGTGACTCAAGGGATATTTCTCACAACATGCTATTAGCAGGATTTGTTTTGCATTTCGTCTAATTTCGATGTTAGAGAAGGGATCATATTTTTCTGAAGTATTATTTGATGTGTATGATTTTGAAGCTACTTTACATAGTCAAAAGCTAGCCATGGGCGTCCATTGCTAAAATTGGCGTTTTCTCTTGAAAAGGTCTGAAGTTCTTTTATTTCCTCCCCTTACCCGCAGCTGAAATCTAAAATATATGGGTCAGTGTGCTTACCTATACAATTTGGCAAAGATCCGGACCACAGTCCATTTTCTTGACAACGACGAACTCGACTTCCATTCAACTGGTACCCCCCAAAACAAAAGTATGTTGCTGTGCTATTGAAGTTGTAACTGCCATCGATTTGATAAACGCCATTTGCGATGATTCCGGGGGGACCACAAATGATTTCTGTCATAAAACAGGACATTTAATTAATTGACAAGAAAATACCAATAGTTCAAAAACAGATTCAGAAATTTAGAGACAAAATTACGGTTGATTTAATGTAAAATTACAAGGTGATTGAGGAGAATACCTTGGCATTTTGGAGCTTTCGCAGACCACATTCCTCCAAAAAGACAAGTTGTTGTCACACTGACATTAAGCCTATAGCCACTGTTGCATTTGTAAGTAACCCGAACTCCAAAGTTTGTTTGCACTGTGCTTATGGATCCATGCTCTGGAACCACTAACTTGGGGCATCCTACCAAACAAAACATCAAAGTAAGATTGATTGTGAGCAAAAAAGAAGAATACAACATTCTACTTATTACTAGACAACCTTAAAAAAGATTTCTAACCTTAAAAACATGGAAAACTGAAATGACATCAAAATGGCAGACAGCTGTCAAGACATTAAAAAAAGAGTAGGAGGGAGGGAATGGTGAATATCTGTCATTTACTCTATTCTCAGAACTAAGATTGTAATAAAACCCAGAGACGTGACTTGGCGAGAAAATGATATAGAAATTAAAAAGAGATTTGATTTGACGACGTGCCCACGACCTTGTAACGTACCAACGGAGAAAGAAATTCGAAATCCCTTTTTTCTGTAGCTGTTATCTGACTTAAAGGTAAAATCTAATTGTGACGTAGCTGTAGCTAGGATCCAGGCCTCCGAAGCCTGCCTCGCAAGTTCTCCAGAATATCGTTTGATCGAGGCACCAGTGTTGCCATTCAGCACATCCAAAACATCAAAGTCCAATTCAGTGTCGAAAAAATGAAACAATAAGCCGATGTTTCTTCCGTTTGGTTCGTTGATTTTCCATGTGCAATCTGACATATTTGGGTAGTTTTTATAGCCAAATCCTGGACTGGAAATTACACCTTTCGTTGCATTAAGTTCGATGTTACAACCTGGAAGGTAAATGAAAGAAGTCTCAGTAGCCTCTATCAGGAATGGGCAGAAAATATAGTTGCAGAACAAAAACAAGCTACAAAACTCAAATGACATTTATAGCATCTGCTGGCCTACCAGGAAAGCGGTGGCAATAACATCATCGCATTATATTTATTTTAAGCTGTTTTTTACTGGGTTATTTAGAAAACGAATCTTGTTCTAACTTAAGATTGCAGTGAATGGAAAAGCTTTTTACGAAAATTCCAACATTGTATCAACAATATGCTCTATGTTACCACAAAGGGCATTCTACCTACCTCCGTACACGACTGCCTTAAAACCTCTACTACCATTGGCGCGATCTGACGTGAACTTCATCGTGAGTCCTGCTCCAGTCGAAATGAACGTTTGACCAGTCTGTGCGCCTGACAATCTGGCGATCAATTTATCTGTGCTCAAAACACCATCCCTTATGTCTACCACATCATTGATAAGTTCGGTTTCAAAGTCAACAAAATGGAGGCTCAGTACACTGTTTGGGTCGGCAGTAATCGTCCAAGTGCATTTGGAATTTGTTGGATAATGTAAAGGATATTTTGGTGAAATGATTTCCCGCATTTGACCTTTACCAACATTCAATGCTTCTCCACAAGCGCTCTCATTTACTGAAGTAAGATGAGAAATCAGGAAAAAATGGTTTTAAAGAACTGAAAACTCGTTTTAAGATTTTGTGTTTGTGTTGTTGCTGTTGTTGCAGTTCTTTGTTGCTGTTGTTGCCGTTAATTTATTTATTACTTTCATAGTTAAAAACTTATAAAGTATATACAAAGTAAACCCTATAGGATTGATCCTTTAACGTTAATGAAACTCACATTAATTTAGACTAAAATTGACCGATTTAATCTACTTTCTACGAATTTGGGATTTGCATTTTTTGGGCTGTCGACGGGCTAAGCGGTTTGAAGTATTGTAATACTTGAAGATACCTTTTTCGGGGCTCATGCTAGGAGAGATGTACAAAAAAACAAAACCAAATATTGTCTTCTATTAAAAGAAACATCCGAACCAACTAGTAGCAAACATTTTTCCAATCTGCGTTATCTTTTAGTTATTCTCGTTTACATTTTTAATCGTCCAATGGCAACGCATTATTTCAACATTGGTTACAACAAAAAACTTCATGATAGAATCATAATGGTCTTTGGCAGTCTAGACCAAACGGTAAATATGATAATGGTATTGCTTCTTGCGACAATTCCTAGATTCATGCTGCACAGTATATTAGCTTCAAAATATATATTATTTTCAATAGGCTGCACAGGATAACGCAAAGCTATAATATTTCATTGTTTGAAAATCACTCACTTGTGCTGTAGTTAGCCAAGAACCCTTTCTTCTCGATGTGTTTGTCAGATACAAATCGGACAAGCATTTGGTTACCAGATGACAGCAAAGGTGTCACCTTGCCTAGACCCATCAATCGAGCAATGATCTTTGAAGACGAGGTTGGCCCATCGTAAACATCAACATAATCGAACCCAGGCTCCAGGTGAATTTCTTTGAATGACAGCTCCACTTTTGACTTCAAAGGAACCGTGATCTTCCAAGTGCAGTCTGAATCAGATGGGTAAAACCTAGGGTACTCTGGTGACGTAAAAGAGCCATTTGTTCCTTCAAGCATCCCTCCACAGTTGTCTAAAATGGAAAATTTACACAAACTCATCTGAATCTTTCATTGCTGTTCATTATACAGAAAGGAATAAAAATAAATTGTTAATCACGTAAACGCGGAGGCGTAGAGCGAAGGGACGCCAGGGGGGCTGAGCTAAATCTGATGATGAAAAATAACATAGGGAGCTCGTGATTTTGCATCCAGGATAACAGAACATATTTTCCAAAAGACAACGACTAATTCATAGATTTAAAATGATTAGAGAAAATGATGATGCGTTTAGCTAAGGTTGAAATTCAAATTCAGGTAATGCTCTGAAAATGAGAATAATTTGATGTTTTGAAGCAGCTTATATATAAAACAAGATCGACATATACAAATGAGCAATGAGGAAACTCAACCAGTCATTGAAACCTGTCAAGTCTGTCTAATTCTGCCTGTTGGGTTAAAAAAATAGATTGGGTTTTTTGCCAGATATGAAGAGGTAGGCCTAAGTTAAAAGTTAAGGACTCAAAAGGCGATAGTAAATTGAGGGCGATTCAAACAAATTTTTCAGACCATCTCTTTTTTTAGTCATAAATTGTGACAAGAAATGAATCCGCCAACTTTAAACTACGTGTCAAAAGTTACTGCAAAAATTAACAACGACCATACAAATTGGCATTTTTAATGAAAGAAGAAAGGAATTGAAAGGCGCAAACAAATAGGCACGCACTGCAATTCCTCTCATCAGAGTTGTCTCCGCAATCATTGACGCGGTCGCACACTGCATACTTTGTAATACACTTTCCATTATCACATCGAAATTGCCCTGCAAACAATTACATGATTTGAGAAATTAATTGGGTTTTTCTCGATTTTTCACGATTGGGTTTCAAATAAAACAATTCACATTAGATTCAACTAAAGAGAGATTAGTTTTCAAGCTGGAATAATTTGTTTCGCTTTTGCGTTCAGTGACAGGTATAACGGTTTAAAAAGATCAATGGTTTAAACTTTTGATAATCCTACTGGCCCTCATATCATATATCCATATCAAATAAGTTCAAACACATATCAAACAATGACTGAACAGAGAATTCGACAATTGTTCTTTTAGAATGAAAGTTCGGAAAAACAGAAAAAGAAAACATAATTGAAAAATATACCTTTGTAACAGGCGTTGACCTACAAAAGAACTGACTGGAATTAACTGTCGTTTAAACTTTTTCGATAAACAAAAATATTGTCAAAAGTTCAATGGGTAGAGTAAAATACAACAATTGGAGACAGCTTTTCGGTTTGACACCATCTCAAATGTTAGATTATTAATGACGCTGGATAAAAATAGAAAAGGAACACAAGCAGGGTTGGATATAGGCTGTTGTACAAGTCAAATAAAGCTAGGAATTTACGTTGAACCGTACTTTGTAAAATTAACGAATAGAACCAAAATTTTTTAAAAGGAATATAGGGCTCGACAAGTATAATGGAACGACAGATGTACAACAACATTAAAAAGAAGCATATGAGAAAGAGCTAAAAGCCATATGTATGTATTTATTGAGGGCACGCGGGATTTGTTCGGATGATCGCCAGTTACAGGACAAGTTACGGGACTTGACTGGATGGTTAAAGGAAAGAGGGTATGAGGAATCAGTTATCACAGAACAGATAGGTAAGGCACGTAAGCAGGATAGGGTCACGCTACTAGATAAGGCTAATTGGAAACATGATCACAATGGGAATGGGCAACTTGCGCGCAGTATTATTGCTGTTGTTGTCTTGGAAATGACCAACGGGAAATGTAAACTTAACATTCCCTGTTCAGCAACAGCAACAGCAACAAAAGACTTACCTAATATGGAGCAAACCCAATTGAGATCTCAGTCCGATCAAAGTTTGCATTCATAAAGCATTTTCCAATAAATCAAGCCACGATGAACCTAACTAACTCTTGAACTGGATTAGTTTGCCCGGGTCGAATGGGGCGCAATTCAAGCCCGGAGCGTGTGTGGGTTGGTCTGTGTATATGTAAATTCCGGTGAAGAAATTTCAGAGTTGGAGTTTGATTCTACGTCGCTAATCACTGCGAAGGGGATTTGTTGAGAAAACGAAGCAGCATTCGTTCGAAAGTCCGTTGGCTTTAAAAACTTTGCATTATAAGCACATGCGGAGTTAAAATCGATGACGCTAAATATACATCACATAATCTTTTCTTTGGTAGAAACATTTCTGGCTTTTATGGAAAAGGCTCTTCCGATGCAATTTTTTGCCTCAACTCCCTGTGCGATTACGGCATAAATAGAATCAATTTTTGGGGCCGAGTACAAACAGTGAGAAAAAATGACGCGGTTGATCGTAACATTAATTCCGTACCAAACCGTGATTTGGACTGAAGGTGAAAAGTTTCTCCTAAAACGATTTTGTTCCCACACACTCAAGAAACAAAGTAAAGATATTATATATAACAACCTCTCTATTCTACACAAGGACTCAATAACAAAGAAAATATTCAAAGCTCAACCTCTGTTGGCCTACAAAAAGGATAAAAACATCAAAAACCACCTTGTACGCAGCAACCTTCGTTCACCTGAATCTCCTGGTACCTCACCTTGCCACCACCACCTCTGTCAAACCAGCAACCACATCAACCCATCTACCACCATTTCTAATGGTAACAAGTCATTTACTGTTAAATCAAGCTTCAATTACTCTTCCTCATCTGTCGTATACTGCATCTCTTGCACAAAATGTAATGTTCTGTATATTGGTAAAACATCGCGCCAGATTAACAACAGGTTTGGCGAGCATTTACGTAATGTCAGGAACAAAATCAACTTCAACAACAAACACGACAGTAATCCTGATAGCAAAATTTCTAAACATTTTAACCTGGCGAATCACACAGAAGATGACATGTTAGTTCTTGGCCTCTTGTTTGCCCCAACGGACAGTGCAAAGAAAACGTCGCTGGAAAAACGAATCATTTTTAAACTTGGAACTTTATATCCCTCTGGACTTAACAAACAGTTTACGCATTTTTAAAAACAACCCCCCCCCCCTCCTTTTTCTTTGTTTTTTCTTTTCTTCATATTAGTGTGCATATATATACATATACATAAATTTTGTATTTGTGTATATGTAGGCATGTATGTATATATAATTTTTAGCTCTTTCTATATATTTCTTTTCCATGTTTATATTCGTCATTCTATTCCATTTGTCGAATTCCATATTCCTTCGACGTTTTTTTAGTTCTATCACCGCTTTTCAATTTTACTTCATAACGGGCTATGCTCGAAACGTCATTATTTATTGAAAAAAAAATTTTCCTGGTACAATTTACTTACAATCATCGTTTTTATAACCTATCTTCAATATGTGCCACAAACCTGAACTAAAGCATACCTGACAAATAAAGGTTTGCTCGTCCTCACAGAAATTGTCTGTCCACAAGAATCTGCGTCTTCCCCGCGTTTGCAGTTCGACGCAGTCTTGGCCCGGGGATTCATCATCAGGCTCCCCCGGAGAAAACCACCGGAAACTGTACTTGTTAGCTCTAGTTCCATCAGACCATTCGAATGTGCCTTTGGTTCTGCGATCGTTAGCACCTGGTTAAAAATGCAAGCTAGTTAATGCTATACAACATATGAAAATGATAGAAATTGATAATTTTCTGTATCTATATGTTTCTTCAGACACTATTTAGTTATTTGTACTAGGACAATTCAACACAACATAAACACGAGCACAAATATCCAATATGCAGATCCCAATGGAAAGATGTGGATTCACAGAGTTGCCATAAAAACAGACTAAGACAACGAAAAACGAGGAATCTTACCGATCCATACTGTTCTTCGCCTCCGATCGAAATACCTCACGATGCGGAACAAGAAGTAGTTGGTTGCCCAGTCACGAATTGTGACCAAATCACCCCCAAGACTAAAAATGAACAGTTATGCAATTCAAATGAGATTTGGGAAGGAGCGTCGAGATAGGGTTAGGCGGGGCAAAAAGTCCTTTAACAGCTTTTTTGTCAATTGTTTCTCTGGTGCTAAGAAAGACGGAATTGCATGGTCACATAGAATTTTAATAGGGGCACGTTTAATAAATCACCTCAGTCCCTGAGCTGCCTTTCTGCCGCCCTGGAGTGGGATAATAAAGGCTTGCTTGTATAACAAAAACGTACGAAACAGTCAATGACCTTTGAGGGTATTCTAGGGTTTGTTTGAGTTTTCGCTTTTCGCCTTCACTTTTCTGAAATAAAACCAAACCAGAAAGGTAGACTAGACTTAATAATGCATATCTCTGCTACCATAAAGTTTTCTCAAAACTTCATAAAAAATCTGTGAAAAAAGCATCACTTTTTAACATTATTAAACATTGGTTTCAACATTAGTCTACAACAAAAACCAATTTTAAATGGCTGTTGAGAAGAGAAAATAAGCAATGCTCAATAACTGTTTTAACATTTGTTCAAGATTAATTTTAAAACGGAACTTAATCCATTATACCGTCATTAACCATCAGAAGGGCCGCAGTTTTCCTGTCTCTCTCAGAAAATTAGTATGATAACATTACGCTTGATAAGTGGAATTTATGGACAAACAGTTTTGTTGTGAAGTATCGGGCAGATTCTAAGTCAAACCGATTCCTTGGACACATAAAAACGAACAAAGTTCGATAAAAAAGAAATAACGCGACGACTTCAATACCTTCTGCAGTAATATTGGGCGCCCAGCCATTGCATTGGCTGGTTGACATATAAGTAGCATCGGTTGCATCTCTGAACCCATCCTTAAAAATTGAAAATGACAAAATCATCAAACGTGCATTGGTTCATTAGATTGGAAGCTTTCTAAGACCCTGCTTGTTCTGACATTGAGAGAAAAAGTACTTTTTCCCAACCCATATGATACATTGCATTAAAAGCCATTGTAATAGTGAGATTGTGCAATCAATCAACAGAAAATATTTTTTCTAACAAATAGCTAACTTGATAGATATGCTGATATTTGCAATGTTTCAATGTTGACAGTCGAGAGGCTAGAACTTTGGAAAAAAAGAAATGGAGATATTCCTTTAGTCATGTCTTTATGCTAAGAATGCATACAATCAACTTTTGAAATGCAATTAAAACACTAACAAAAACAAATATGGGGAAAAGAGAGTTATTGGGCTTCTAAAAAATGAAGAGGGAGAGCTTATGTTTGATTACAATGAAGTACCAGGCCTTATGAATGAATTTTTTACAAATATTGGTGAAAAACTGGCAATAAATTGTGATGAAACAGAACAAGACATAGAGTTTCTCCGACAACTGGGTACATTGATATAACTGAGAATGCTGTTGCCAAGAAGCTGAGAAAGCTCAATGTACTGAACGCATGTGAACCACAAAAAATGCCAAAAAAACTAAGAACAGCATTTGATGAGCTGAGTTTTCCAATAACGATTAAATGTAAAATGGGATAAATTGAAGGAAAGTTCCAAAGTCAGTGGAAAATTGGAAAACTAAACCAGCGCACAAACAAGGAGAAAGAGCAGAGAAAGGAAACTATCGGCCTCTGATAATGCTATCCATTCCAAGCAAGGTAAATGAGTCATTGATATGCGATGGTATGGAGAAACAAATTTACATGACAAGACATTGACTTCAGGAAGGCGTTTGACTGTGTAGGCCACATCACACTAGCCTGCACCGCAGACCAAAGAGAATTGGGACTGCGGCACAGGCTAACATCATACTTGAACAGAAATTGATCGCAACAGGAGTCAGTGGCAAATTAGATCAGATGATTGAGAGCTACCTAGAAATAGGAAACTAAACGAAAAGTTGAATGGAGTTAAATCTGAGATAAAAGTAATTGCTTATGTAGTGCCTCAAGGTTCACCGTTAGCATCAAGACTTTTCTCATCTTTTGTGAATGATTCCTGTTCTTTTTCCCAGCGTTACTTTGACAACTACTGATTTAGCGTGCGTGTCTTTACGCTACAGTATTGTTCTCAAACTGTTATCGGCATAGTTTGTGACTTTGAAATCCCCTGACCACCGTGTTGTAGGCAGACGATTCTGAAATTCTTCTGAGAAGCGCCCAAGTAGCGCTGAATTGTTTGCAGCAAGTCCTACAGCGAGTCCTACAGTCGGTAGCAAAAGCTCCAATAAGCAATTCTCTGTCGGCCAGTATTGACTCCAATTGTGTTGACAGTGCAATGAAAACGACAACCAACCCCATTAAAAAAATTGGATACAAAATTTTCCGGGTGGCAAACAGCTGGTATTATCTTCTTCCAGGGGGTGGCATGGAGTGGCTATGGCCCTGGTATTTATTCTATAAGATATACTGATGAACACTGACGAAACACTGACAAACAATCCGGAAATTCTACAGAAAATTTCGCATTTTTATAAAGAATTGAGAGTTTATTCTCAGTTAGTCAGTTGATCAGGTGGTAAGTATTTTCTTGACAATTTTAGCAAAGGTTTGACAACCTAACTCCATGCATCTTTGTAAAAGGTATCAAGGCAGAAAAGATAATCCATTATTCAACAAAACTTCTTGTTCGTAAATCAACCTTTTACAACAGTCTTCTTAAAACAACTCTCGCCTACACTCTGTCTTTCCCTCCTTACGGTCTTACCAAAAAAACGTGATCTAAAGTTCAAAATTAATCTGGGGGTTAATCCGTGGGATGGTTAGTGTAATCACATATTCTTTGTGTGGTTGGTTGATCTGTTGCGCATCGGCATACCGGAAAACAAGGACCCAGGACCTTAAGGCAGGACCCAGGACCAGGACCAGGACCAGGACCAGGACCAGGACCAGGACCAGGACCAGGACCAGGACCAGGACCAGGACCAGGACCAGGACCAGGACCAGGACCAGGACCAGGACCAGGACCAGGACCAGGACCAGGACCAGGACCAGGACCAGGACCAGGACCAGGACCAGGACCAGGACCAGGACCAGGACCAGGACCAGGACCAGGACCAGGACCAGGACCAGGACCAAGTTTTAACTACTTTCCTTGAAGACACACGATGGATATGAAGCCGAGTTGTTCAAAAAAGCTCAATTGATTGAAAGTTTTGGAAAAATTTCTCAAACAAATTTACGAGCTGACAAACAAAGCTAAACCATTGCGCTGTTTTGTGTTCTTTATACCACTTTTTACACTTTTAAGCATAAATAATTTTCCTATTTTTTGAAAAAGGTTGGAGGAATACTCAGCTTATATGACGTCATTGCAGATTCCCTTTAAGTACTTTCTGTTGTATTTTCACAAATGAATATTCATTGATTTAATTAAATAGTATTTACCTTGAGGGCACTGATAGTGTCTTCGATAATAGTCATTATTCTGGTTCTGCAATAGAAAAAAGAATTCTTTACAGAACTACACAGCAAAAGAAGTTCGTAAAAACCATATTGAATTTTCCAAAATATGGCCATCTAATCAAATTTAATTTTTTAGGTTTGAATTTTCATTATAGATCTCAAATGCATTCATATATTTACACTCATACTTAAAAATCAAAGTTGCACCTGCCAACCTAAGCAGTTCATTTTAAAAACAATTGCGTGAACATAAATCATGGTAAAGTATCAATATCTTTAACTACCATAAAATGATAAACGTGATAAGTTTGGTAAAATAATATTATGCCAATAAAAAATAATAATAAGGTTTTGAATCGTGTTCTCAAAAAATGTGTGGGGTGGGTGGGAGTGGATGGTTGGGAGGATGGGTGGTTGGGGAGTGGGTGATTGGGGGTTTGGTGGTTGGGGGTGGTTGGTTGGGGGTGGTTGGTTTTCAGTGGGTGGTAAGGGGATGGGTGGTTGGAGGAGTTGGTGTTTGAGGTGGTGGGTAGTTGGGGTGGTGGGTGGTAGGGGGTTGGGTGGTTTGGGTGGTGGGTGGTTGTGATGGTAGGTGGTTGGGGTGGGTGGTTATGGTGGGTGGTTTGGGTTGTTGGTGGTTGGGGGGTTTGGTGTGAGGGGTTTTGGTGGTTTGGGGTTGGTTTGTTTCCAGCGTGGTGGCTTGGGGTGGTTGGGGTGGTGCGTGGTTGGGGTTGTGTTGGGTTGGGGGGTGGTGGGTGTTGGGGTGGTGGGTGGTTGGGGTGGTGGGTGGTTGGGGTGGTGGGTGGTTGGGGTGGTGGGGGTGGAAAGAGTGTTGTAAAAAGCAAATGAACGTGAGTGACGTTTGAATAAATTAGAACAAATCAATGTGGAAGGAAATGGAGATCGGGTGTTGGAGCAATAAGAGAATTGAGATTGAGAGCAACTGAGCTTTTGTATTTAAAAGCCTTTGAGAAAAGCAAACATTTTGAGTTGTTGTGTTTTTACTGATCCATGTGTAACGTAGCAAGGAAAAAGGATCCGAGAATAAAGAAATCTTTGCACTATATACAAAAATGATTAAGAACCAACACGCATATTAATTGGCAAACTTTAATCTGTAAGCTATCAGAAATCTATCCAATTCTGTCCAACACTAAAAAACAACTCTGCTCAAACTCAAAACGCCCTTCTTATGTCAATCTTCTTTCTTACTCGGCAATACTACTTACTATGTTACGGATTGATACGTTTTAATTGGGAAGTTAACAATACAGAATAATCCGGTTATAACATACTTGAAGGGACCAGCGGATTAAGTACGTTATAACCGAGTACGTTATAACTTGGTTATACTATGTTATTGCATCAACGTGTGAAAATTAGCAAACGTAATAATAATGATCTTAACACGAAATTTATGCTAATGACGACATTCCCAAAAACAGAATCATATTTAAGCTGTTCGTCTGACACTTTTGATCAAAACACTGAGCTAAGAAATATGTATACCGTAAATCCTCGAATAAGCCCCCACGCTCGAATAAGCCCCCCCCTCAAATAAGCCCCCATGGGAGCTTGTTTGAGGGAAGCATAATTGCAGAATAATATCTTATTTCAAGAAAGCCCCTACAGGACAATAGCTATACAGTATTTCTTCCTTCGACTGGAGACCATAAAGCAAAAAAGTGACTTTTGTGATGAAAAAAAATAAAAATATTTGTTAGTTCTTTGTTAGATTTGTTATAAAAATTATGTCGTTTTTATGTCGACCTTTCAGGAAAATGCTAAACTTTGAGATACGCCCCCCTCGAATAAGCCCCCCCTCCGGTTAGAATAAGCTCCCACACAAAAAATTCATTTTTGAAATAAGCTCCAAGGGCTTATTCGAGGATTTACGGTATAACCGATTGGAAACGCGAACACATGATCGATGAGGTTGCCCAATCAGTGCCGCGTGCCTATTGATAATATCAATGGAGTCCTAAAATGAAAACGGAATCCCCCTTTTTACACAATAGCGGTTCTTACATGTTTACATAGATAGATTCCAAAAGGACGATCGGCCTCTACCAATAATCCGAAGCATGTAGCCCATATAGTAAACTGTTATACACCAAATCGAATGATATGTTGAAGTTGAATTCTGTCGAAAGATTGCACAGAACTTTGAATTTTGACACTTTGAGCTCGAACCATTAAATAATTATAATTTTGATGGGCTCTTTTAAAAATGCTTTTGTTTAACTTTTAGCTTCAATATAAATATCGTGTAGTAGATTTTAAGAGTTGAGTTGGTTTTCGAGAAAGATACCGGTTTTTTCTTTGATGTGATTCTGCCTTGCTGACGCTCGAGCAAGTGGGTCGTAATTCTACCTAATTCATTTTTTATGGCAGTCTATATTATACAAATTGCTGCTTGATAGCAGAACGTTGTTTAAGTTGTAGTTAAACCGAGGTGGCTGTTCTCTTTGGGGACGACTTTCGTTTCTAATGCTAGAAGGGACATGCTGTTTTATTCTATCCCCCAATCTTTGGGCTGTGTGTCCTACGTAGCCAAAATCACACTGGCACGTAAACTCAGAGATAACGAGACTTTTTTGGGTGGTATTAACGCAGTCCTTTTGAATAGATGGAATGGCCTTATTGAACCTTGTAAACAGTATGCAGATTGACAGCAAAGAAACATTGTGTCATGGTCTGTTTGATCTGACTTTCAAATTGCAAGGAAATGTTACCTATATATGGTAGTATTAGATAAAGCGGGCATTTTTGAGGACCATATATTTTATTTCAGCTCGAAAAGCTTGCATTTTTCCTCATTGTAATGTAAACTGAAATGACATCCACTGGATAGCCGTTATCAAGCAAAACCTTTTTTAGTTGTTCAAGTTCCAAGTCTAGTTTAGACTTTGAAAAAATCAACACTGCCCTTTGAGTTAACGCTTTGATAAGGTTGATTCTTTTTTGTTTTGGGCAAAACAATCTCCATCGAGTGTATAACCCCAAAAATGTGTGTTTGGATAAACATCGTGCTTTGAAAAGGAAATCTAGTTTGCAATTTCAATGAGAATCACAATCAGTCTTGAAGAAGCTAACTAGACCAAAAAGAATCCTTCTCGCACAACTGATTGCAATCGATTTTTGGTAGAACACATACATGAGTCATTTCTCCATGAAAAAGGCAAACTTGACCCCTTTTCCATTTCAAAAAATTGCAACCACGGAAGTGCAAACAGTGGAAATTCAAGGCGGTTGCTGAGAATGAACTAAAAGCAACGTGTGTCTGCTCCACAGTGTGACCCAAAGGGCATATCACTCCATGGAAATTCCGTGCGCCTTTGGCAAAAAACATTTTATTTTCGAGAAAAATCTCTCAAAAATATCCTATTGTTCTAAAAAATCTCGTATGCTGTTTGGGAAGTGATACACCCCTCGGTGTGGTCAACACACGACTAATTAAAACATATTGGACATTCAACATCAAAGCTTCGCAAAAACGTATATTTCTTCACATCTCGAAGGAAAAACATAATGATAATCAAGCCTGAAACACAGGGTTTGGTCATGTTCATAGTTATTGGCATGACTAAATTGGAAACCCTATGTTTAAGTCATGCCCGACAATAGAAGAGCGCCTTCGGAGGGTTCAATATTATAATAATTATTATTATAATTGTTATTTTTATCAAATTATTTACAGTAGGCGAAGCAATTTTTTTAGCTAATATAACAGCTAATTGAAGCCTACTATTTATACTACATTTACAAATCTTAAATTAATTACAATGAATGGATAAAAATAGGAAATGTACAAAATTAAAAGGATGACTCATTTGATAAAAATATACAATTATTTGATGACTATTTCAAGAATCCAATCTGCGCAACGTAAGGTTTGCATAGTCTGCTGTTGAATTTTGTATCTTTTGAAGTTTTAATCTTTTTCTTGAATATTGCGAGGCTAGAAGATGCTTTAATGTCATTTGTAAGCTTTTGCCATATCTTGGATCCCATAAAGGTTGCACTTTCTATACCATAAAAATTTGATTTTGGTTTTGATAGCGATATTCGGGATATGTTTCTAAGATTATAGCATGTATTTCTTTCAGTAAAGATCTCTTTCATGACACTTGGGTTGAGATTATGTAAAGTTTTATATATTTTTGTAAGAAGCAATTGCAGATTTTTATCATGGATAGATGTCGAGTTGTCTTTTTCAAGAAGAGTTTGAAAGTTTGATTCATAGTACATAGATTCATAGGCAAGATGCAAAGACTTTTCAAGGATTCAATTTATTCTGTTTTTCATCTGTCGATCACAAAACATCCAAATTAAAGTAGCTAAATTGTGATAAAATGAAGACGTGCATGGTCTGTTTTACTTTTTTATCATCCATGTAATTGGAGATTCGGGATAAAGCATGCAGCTTTTGGCTGGCCTTTTTGCGTATCGATTGTACGTGTCCATTGAACGACAAATTATTATCAATACTTATTCCAAGAGGTTTTTGTTCTTAACTTGGTTTAATTATCGTTTAATCTATTTTCAGAGATGTGTCATTGCTGCCTTTACCAAAATTTTAAGGAGGCATTTGTCCCCATTCAGTTTCAAATAATTATTTTGAAACCATTCTCTCAAAATAACTAAGTTTTGTTCTAGTGTTTTTAAAGCTTGATTAATGTCTTGGTGGATGACATATAGCGTTGTGTCATCAGCATAATTGCATATTTGGCTATTTGATATAAACATAAACATGTCATTTATGTATATATTGAACAAAAGAGGTCCCAATACTGATCCTTGTAGCACATTTACACTCGTGGTTTTCTATTCACTGAAAGAGCCGTTTATTTTGACTTTTTGTTTCCTCTGGCTAAAATAGGATAATGTGAAATCCAAGGTGCTTCTACTAAAACCATAAGTATTGAGTTTAGCAATCATTAGGTCATGATTCAGACAGTCAAATGCTTTTGACAGATCCATTAATAGTGCACTGGCTGTTTGTTTAGTATCTAGAGCTTTTTTGCA